AAGGATGGGGGTGTCGACGTACCAAAATAAATATTGTTGTTCCTGTGATTGTGCGCCTGACAGAGGGCTCGAAAGTTCGCTTGCGTCTGCGTGTGGGAACGAAGGGGGGAGAAGAAAATGTGACACAAATAGACAGGAGACGAGAGAGAGAGAGAGATCGAAAGGAAAAGTTGAAAGTTGACTCAGTGTGAAAACTCGTCCGCGCGTGTAGGATTATATTCCACGGCTGGTTGAGGGCTCCAACGCGGCCCCACTGCGAAAGGTGTGTAATCGAGTGAGCGTAAGCGTGCGTGTGTGCGGCGCGTCGCGATGTGGCGTGGTGTGGTGCAGTGCGTGTGGGTGCGTAACACACTGCGCACGCTATCTTCTGTGATGTGCGCGGGTGCTGCTGCTCGTAGTACGACTACTACCGCTACTGCTATTGCTAAATCCTACTACCACTACCACCACCGAGGACGCGAGAGCGGGAGAGAGAAAGTATATCAAGGCTACGTGGGGGTGCCCCTTTTACTGGTGCGTGTATGTGCGTGTGCGGTATATCTGTGCTGCTCCTGACGTGCCCGCCTGCCTGCCTACGTGCAAGCGTTCGTATGTGTGCGTGCATGTGTGTGTCACTACCACGACGTACCGGTGCCGTGTGCGTGCCTCTCATCGCCATCATCATCACCATCACCACCACTACCACGGGTCTTCCTCCGCCTATTGGTGCGCTCAGGCTTGGAGTGGTGCGACAGACAGGCACACAACGGATGCATGCGCAGTGCACACGCACACATGTCTCAAACGCACACACGCACGCCGTCCGCATGGAGCGTCTTGGCGTTATCGCCTCCTCTGGTGGGCTTGCCCGTACTCACGCCCACCCTATCACCAGTCAAATGGGGTGGCGTAGTTGTAGTAAATGGACTGTCTGTCCTGTGCATTTTTTTCCCTCCACTCACCTGCTCTCACCTGCTGGTGTTTTAACCTCCCCCATGGCCTGATGTTGTTACTAAATTGGTGGTAAGTAGGTGGAGTCCTGACCTTGGGCGATTTGGGGAGGAAGCGAGACTGCACGACTGCTGTTGTAGCGCTGGTTTTACAAGGAGCATTGGGCGTCATCCCTACCACCTGATTGTGGCCTGTTCAATGGTGCCAAGACAGTGATGAGCATAAAAATTTGGAGAGGGTAAGGTCGAGATTTCAAACTAAAAAAAAAACAACGAATTGGATATGAAAGCGGTACCGCAATATACAAAGCAGATTGAAATCGCAGTTGTTTATCTCTTCATGGAGAAATTCCACTCATACCAATCAGTGCCTCAACAAATACAACAGAACTTCAAGACAAATGCCGACTGTTTGGGCAAATTTCTGCTTAACTATGCGACTGGAAGCTATCTTCGCAGGTCGGTGAAGCGTCATTCCACTTTATGGATGAAACCGCCCTAATTCTCATCCCCGTTTGACGCAGCGCCGTTAGCGGGAATCAAGGCACCTTGACAATAAAGTGCTGAAAACCCTAATAACAACTGACACGTCAATTTCTGTCGGTAGATAAGCCAACGCATTCCAATTACACATGGAGAAAGATTTCAAAGAGGTCCAAGTGATTGTTGTCAATGTAAATAGGCTGCATTTTGTAATAACTGAGGGAGGTAGATCCGCACGGCTGTTTATAAAAGTAAAAAGACAGCAAAGTTCAAGGGTGGAGATTAAGTTAAAAGAAATTTCTGTGGTCCAAGAAAACGTTCCAACCAATTTTTAGGCTTTAGGCCTAAAAGGATGGTTTTACGGTGGATCTTTCCCTATTGAACTCTGATAAAGCTTAATTTTTCGCGGTAACCGCAGCTCGTAAGACATCGTCTCCGATCACCGATGGAGGTTTCTACCAGGACGTCTCTTCTTAACTGCCGCAGAAAGGGATAAATGTTGGAGAAGATAGGGACAACAGCAAACTTAGTGCGGAACCAAACACGCAGTAAACATGAAAAGCTGCTTCAAACGGCTGTGGAGCAATCACGACCAACTCGTGTTCCAAGGGAAATAAATTTTTCGAGGGTTTTTGCGACTCATTAAAAACGACTGTGCCTTTTGCGATTTGCAACCGTGTAGTGGGAGTATGCTGGAGGACACACCACACTGCTGCACGAATATTAAAATAGGACCTCCTTCTGCTTCCGTTAAGGGTACTAGCGGCAGCCTTCACGCCATACAACCATTAATCTGAGCAGGGCAACCTCGGACCAGTTTCAAGAACTTGCAGATGACTACACTCTTCTCATTGCCTATTAAACGCACATTAATGTGCCCCTGCTTCGTGTAGTATTCGCGTTATAGAGCACTTCTTCTGCTTCTCAAATACTTCCCTATCTCTAGTCACAAAAAATGTATCGTTTAAAGGGCGTCATTATTACAGCGAGCTCACTCCAAATTAGCCTCGATTAAGAAAGGTTTTGTTTACTTACTGGGTTTTCATAAAATCTTCACGACTTGTTAAACACAGCCCACATGGGTACATTACGCTACTCGATGCAGCTTCACCTCTGATTGTAAGGAGTGAATGAGCTTCCAAGTTGTAACCTGATTATTTTACACTGGTGGGGTATTTACACCATCCAAATGCCGCTGGAAATAGAAGTCAAATGTTTTATTAAAAGCAGAACCTGAGGAGTTTAGAATGTGAATATAAATGCGTTTGGATAAAAAGTAATGAAGGTTGACTGAATCCCCCTTTTAGTGTCCTTGTCAAACGTAGTATGGGTGGCAGTTCGGCTGAATTAGAGGGAGAGAACGGCAAAACGGCAAATTACAGTGCATTTTGAGGCCGCCTTTGCGTACAATGTCACGTATTTCATTTTACAGAAAGAGAAAGTTTCCCCAATTCCACTATGAGTGGCCAAAAATGCACGCTTGGCGAAGTGCAGCACCTCAAAAAGGATTTATATATTTCTCGAAAATTTTAATTGAACATTAATTATTAGTTGCGTACGCCAAATCTTGAGGGAGCCATGTGATAGAATAATTAGAAAAGGCTAATTCTTGCTATTCTTACAAAACCGCCATATTTTAGAACAAAATGTTGTGTATTAGAAATCGATAATGCGCGTTTGCACCAGGCCCGCAAAAAATCGATATTTTATTTATCTGTAGCTCATTGGTAATAAAACTCAGATGCTGACCGCTTAGTCAGCGTACGCGATTGGAACATTAGGCAACTAACCTCTGAAGTCTCGTTTACCATCTTCGGAATAGCCACATCCACCGATGGGCGGTGCTAAGTTTTC